TGAATGAACATTTGCTCAAACTAGTGTCCTGCGAAATTACAGACGGCCCAGTGTTGAAGCCCATTATATTAAAGATTAGATGTGATGTGCCAAACTGGTTTTGTAATACCTTCATTAAATTCAATAAAGTTTATTATTGTTAATACTATTATATGACGGAGAGAGTGAGACCTAAGCGCGCACGCTTCGAGCACTGAACCCGTTTGACTTATAAATCGAACACGATGTATCGAGTAAACCTGCTGAAAAACCTAGAAAAGACAACGCATTTTATGAATACGATTGACAACAATAATGGCCAAGCACCAATCATATTAAACTTTGATCCTCTTGTCGTTTGTATTCCGATGCCATAGTGTAGATCAAGTAACTATACGGTATTAATCAGATAATGTATATTACTAAGCAGCATTTCCCAAGCGTAAACTTCAGTTATAATGAGGCAGTATAACTAATTTTATTAAAAGTAAAATCATTACAATTGTTCAACACTTATCTGGTGTACAATATAAGTCATATATTAAGGTATATAAGGTAGAGTCGAGATCGAGTCTGAGACGTCCCTTCGCCATCTCTTGCAGCCGAGCGAGTGAATTACTAATGAGCTTGTAAACACAAGCAAAACCCACATCTTTGCGCTCATTTTGACATTCCCAAATCGCCATCAATAAGCATGAATTTGCTATCAAAATGCGCCAAATTTCACGAAGACTTCGAATCAGGCGGTAACTGGAGTCAAAGACCTGCGCAGAAGGTCCTAGTGCCAGTTTTCTTCAACAGACACCACGCGCGAGGCGAATTTCCTATACAAATTCTAACAAACAGCCCACAATCAAACGAAAAGTGACATTCGAATTAAGGATTATTTCCCCATAAAAGTACATTCAAAAGGCGTCTAAAGACTCATTCTTTCCTATACCGAGGGTAACTGAACACCAATATAATCGTAGAGCAAACGTAAGCGAAAAAACATCAAATTTTGGGGTGATTTGTATAGGGAAAAGTTGGAAATATGATACGCGCAATATGATATGACTTTTTGTTAACGCAAAGTTTGATATGCTTAATGACTGTTTCGGACATTTGGTCGCGTTGCCTTTCACATTTGGCCCAGGCTTTCCCGCGCTAATTGGTCGCGCTACCTGTCACAGTTGGCCCAGGCTTTCCCGCGCTAATTGGTCGCGCTACCTGTCACAGTTGGCCCAGGCCTGTCCGCGTTAATTGGTCGCGCTACCTGGCCAAGGGTTAGGGTTAGGGCCAGCAACGTTACGTCACATATTTTGCATACTAATTACTTTCGGAGATTTTGCATACTAATTACTTCCGTTGCCCAAGTGGGGGGTATTACTACTCACGTGTGCTACACTTCTTTTTTCTCATTCCCGCCATTAAGCCGTTCACCTCGCGAAGATAACCTGTTCCAACGGTAAAAAGTCCTGACAGTGGGATGTCCTTGACTTGAGACTCCCTTCCATCCCACGACATTGTGATAAATATCCTCTCCCAGTGATGGGAAATGGCATATTTTCCTTCATTATAGTCATAGACTCGAATTAGCAAAGACTGGATAACTTGCCCGATATTATCAGCTGAGAATATTGTCACTTCCTCCTCCGGACCGACGTTATAACATGTTAGCTCACATTGTGATCTCATACCTGGTACATAATTTTCTGGTGCGGTCGCCATTTTTAAGACGGCCTGGGTGACTTGGTCAAGATAACTTATTCCAGAATTGGACGGTTCCAATGGGTAATAATCCCGAAAGGTTGTCTGAAGTTTGACGCCATGAACCAACTTATTGCTCGTTATGGCGTAATATCCTCGCACAGGGCACGCTATCGACTTCTTTTTGCAGCTAATCATTGCTTCCCACATTTCCCTTTCCCCTAATTTAGGACGGCCTATCAAGCGCGCCGTAATTCGCATAGATTTTTTATATGGAATAGGAAATGTTACGTAATAACCGCAGTTCAATCTTTCTTCGTCCGGACGAAAAAAAGGTTTCCTGAATGGATAGTTGTGATCTGGCGACGTGACGAATGTTGTTGTATTTTTAAGTACCACTCCATCCACCTTAATTAAAAGAACAACAAGGTATTAATTGTACTATTAGTGGCCTTTCCAGGCAGCTCTGTGGTAAACAGGAGCGTAGGAAGCATCTAAAAGTTGGGTGGAGGGCAGGCTTTGAGGGGCACTTTTCGAATGAAAAAGGGCACCTAAAAATTTTTCGCGGAAATGTTGGGGACGGGGGGAGATTGGGGGGAGGTGATCTCAAAAAATGTTCCGGACATTATTTTTTCCTGAAAATGAAAAAATATTTCCGGACATACCAAAAATTTTTCCGGAAATATCATATTTTTCCAGAAAATTAAAAAACTTTTCCTGGCATAACATAATTTTACCCCAAAATAACAAAATTTTTCAGGACATACCAAAATACAAAAAGAAATGCAATCATAAATCAAAGGCCTTGGGGAAAAAAATGCAATCTGAACGACATTTTCCACAGGTACTTTGCTCCCGGAAAAAGGGCACTTTTAAACTTGGGGAGCCTGCCCCCCCCTGGTCCCCCGGTTCCTACGCCCCTGGTGGTAAACAACGGAATACACAATATTTATAGGTGCATAGAAGGTGGGGATAGGGAATTGTGGGGAATGCTGTGCTGAGTGGTTATATTACTACCTTAAAAAATAAGCAGAAACTCGACGAAGGGCCTTCGCTCGAAACGTCGAGTTTCTGCTTATTTTTTAAGGTAGTAATATAACCACTCAGCACAGCATTTTCACATTGGTACTACCTACACTGGTACAGACAGTTTTAGTAATTGTGGGGAATGCTTGGTGAAATTTGAAAATAGACATCCAGACTAGAGATGTCTGCGAAATTTCGATGTCTCGATTCCCCTTTGAAGTCAATTGTCAAATAACCTTGGGTTCATCCTGTCCTCTGGAATTTGGTCGACTTCCGTCGATATTATATAATAGAACTAGAAAATACATGCGTGCAGAAACCCTCGCCTTGCTGACAAAACCATTGTACTTTCCGAACATGAAGTTAAAGTAGCTGTCATGGTAACACGATAAGAATATTTTTACAAATGAAAAATCCCCTAAAAATATCACTTTTTAATTACAAAATTATCAATTCCCATGCAAACATAATAGAGTTTGGGTAATGGTCGAGTGTCGAGGGTCATAGGTCGAGGGTCATAGGTCGAGGGTCGACAGTCGAAGTCGAGGGTCGAAAGTCGAGGGTCAAAAGTCGAGGGTCGAAAGTCGAAATTCAAGAGTCGAAAATTGGAAATATTAATTTTTTATTACAGGTAATACATTTCTAGAATACTATATTTTTGGCATTTGTTGTCAAAATTTTAAAGGTTCTCCTGTTAATAACTAACTTCATTACTGTTAGTAAACAATCCTCCTTGGATTAAGAAGTATTATAATAGTTTAACTATTACTTGAAACACATCAAATTTATTAGAAAACATTATTAGGCGTTTCAATAAAAACTTACTACTTATTAATATTGTTGTTTATTTTCTTACCTCGAATACAATGAAAACTCTCATTCATAAATTGACCCGATGCTCTAATAGAAATCTTTCTACAATCCCGGCGCCATAATCTTCGTATAGAACCATAACAGTGTCACTGTAATTGATGGGGTTGAAGAAATCTAAATTGCGACCTTCCGGGTCATAACTTGTGATTTCAGAATATTTTCGTCCAAATCGTCGTTTTGAAATTTCACTGAAATCAAATTTCCACGTCGAATTGTCCGCCAGAACACCTCTGAAAATATGTGTCAGATCTGTAAGAGAGTTCAAAGACAAAGAAGGTAGATTATTGTTATCTTACGAACGAGCAGGTCTCAACCTTCATAAGTCCACACCCTTTGAAAAACGTAGAAGCCAGATTTGCAAGCTTTTTTACCTGTGTCTCTTATTGGTTTGTCTAGACTTCGAAGAACAGTGTCGGAGTCAGTGTACCCTATAGGAAAACAAGATATATAGTAATTGTAAACCAACTTCTGAAGGTTTCTTCAACTAGCCGGTTATATTACTGCAAAAAGGTAGTTTAATTAATGAGTAGCACATCTTTAGATGTATAGATATACAAGTTGCAAATTGGAGAAAAGAGGAGTGTGGAAAACAGTCATTACCTGTACACTAAAATTAAATAAAAAATTTGTCTACAAACGGCGATTTTTAAAGAAACAATTTTTAGAGCATGAAATTCATGAACAAATTAAAAACGTACCAGAGGTACATTGTCCTTGACCGTTGGCCTAATGGTTTTTTCCACGCCTTATATATTACACAATTTCCCATCATATTTTTATAGGAACGGGGAAAAAGAAGTCATTTCACGGCTCTTCGTATTAAACACATTTCAGAGTTGCTGATATGTTTTTTAAATATTGCTCAACCACTCCTGTCAAATCCGCCGTATTTTTGAGATCGATGGGAAGCCACGTGTCCGTGATCACTGCTGCACTTTAGACTTCGCATATAGCCAAGCGGAATTAGTCCACGGGCGTATGCTCTACGCTTTTCATGCGTTCAATAAAAACAAAAAGTTTCAAAACGGTGTCGTGAACGTTTCTACAATTACATTTATAGATCAGTAGTGTTAATATTATTAAGGAAATGTACAATTTGATTGACACTTCGGATATAGTATATAACATGTGAGCGAGCGTTGACTTTAGAACGGGAATTATAACTTAAACAAAACGTGATATTATAAACTCTTTACTTCTTCGAACCGATTGTGGGAATCAAACGAAACTTTACCAAAAAGTGGCACCTTCGACCGGGATTATTTGGACTTGTAACTTGTGAATTTATCGGGAATTTATCGAGAGTTTATCGGGGTTTGAGGAAGTATTTTGACTACAAAATCGAGCTATGGTGACGCGACAACAAAGTCAGCGAAGAGGTCTTGAAGCCCAAGACGAACAGCAATCGGGTTTATCCAAGGAAACTGAGTCGAAACTGGTTAACTTACAGTCTTTACTACGGAAATTAGCATATTTTAACCGAGCAACAGACGAGATTTTGAGAGTGAATTCGAAAGAGGCGATAATACGACAACAAACAACGCTAAAAACCAAGGTAAGCGAAGCGTATGGTTTGATTGAGCTTATACAATGCTTGAAAATTGATGCAGGCGAATCTGACGAAACTATTGACGAGTGGACAAGCGAAAATAATGGCAGATTACGTGAATATGAAGCGGCAATCGAAGAGTTAAAGTGCCCCTGACACAAAAAATGTTTTTCAGTCTATTGAAAGTACTCATTTAGTATAGTGTTCTAGCGAAAGAATTTTTCGATTTCATCAAAACGAAAAAATTTTAGAGCCGTTTGAATCCAAATATTTTTGGCTAATGGCCGTCGGCGACAGAAGTCTGGCACTAGCATTTATTCTGACGTCACGCAAGTGAGTCGAGTCTCAACCTCGTACCCAGGGCTTCTGCGCTTATTGCTCTCAGAAGCCCTGGGATAATCCAAACCGGAACACCATAGAACAGTGGTGCCCCCGGAAGCGGAAGTAAACAGTAGCTGCAGCTAAAAACGCTGACTGGGCATATTTTTACGCAAGGAGTGAGAATGGATTATTTGTTGCAATTTATGATATATTTGGACTTGTAAAGACGTCTTAAACTGCTTCTCGCGTGGCTTTTGGAATTTAAAGTCAGGAATGATCAATTTAGAGATACAATTATGCGTAAAATTAGCCCTTTGGCGAGCAAAAGAACATCTTATA